GCTGCTTATGGCAGGGGGGGTGGAACTAGATGATTTTTTACGTCCCTTACAATCCCAGCCATTCTAAAAGGGATTCTTCTATAAAGTAATTTTTATTAATAGCACTACAGCTTGAACTGGATGCCTCCAAACAGGGACATCAAACAAAGATATCCTTGGGCAATTACACCCTTACAGTCTAAATCCCCCAGCCTTCACACGCAGTTCAGACCAGTAGTAATACTGGGGTCTAGGGTCTTCCCATTCATCATTGGGTTCCCCCATTATCTCTAGGTGGCCCGTCCCTTGCCTATCTCTAAGGTTGCAGCTTCTGTTAACGAATGTAGCTTCCTTAGCTTTTTGGCTTGAACCAGCTCTGGGGCCTTCTTTTACTCAACCAGGTAAAAGTTCAATATATTTAGGTGAAAGTTCACAGCTTGCGGCCTAAGGCTTCTGCAAATTTAGCTACTAATGCTAAGAAAGGCTAATGCTAAATGCTAAATACTAGTGCTAAACAAGTTCCACACAAGCAGTATACCAAATTGCACAAGACACATCACCAGTGAAAACTGTTTGGTGATAAACAAAATTTAACTTTAGGTTTCACCGTCGCAGGCCTAAACAACTAAAAACTTCAGCACTCAGATGCTCCAAGATAGTGCTGCCTATGGCCGCCAAAAAGAATTCAATTAGTTTTTCCCATGGTTTTTCTTTGGCTGTAAGTCAAATTGGGGGCTACCCATATTCAATAAACTCCCTACCATTTGTCCACACAAACTGGAAAATTTCTCTATCACTTTCTTTTCTTTACGAGATTTTTTATAGATGTTCTGACACGTCATAAATTCATAAATTGACAGGTCATAACATGAATCCTGTGAACAAAAGCACTTTCTCCCCTGAGCAAGAAACGACTGACACTCTTCTAACCTGGTTCACAAGAAGCCAGAGCCAGATCCTTCTCTTTTGGTCATGCAGGAGGAGACTTTATAAGCAGATGCAAAATAGAAGCACATACGTGGGTACTCATTGCATACAAGGAGACACATCCAGTAACCGATGGGAGAAGAGTCCTTCTACAAAGTTGCATCAGCTGCTCCTGCCTTTGGGCTCCTTAGAGTCCTCGAGAGAAAACCATCTTAGAGGTCCCAAGAGGTCTGAAGCAGCATAACAACCCGTAGCCTCTTGAGGACCCATCAGTAACGCACAGCTCTGGAAAACCACCCATCTCGCCCGTAACACTGGAAAGCAAACCATGCGACACATTGCAAGACCCCAACCAGCCTCAGAACCACAGCTTATCATCTTCGTCCTAGGCAATGCATACAAACCTCAGTGTGTCACTGAATGGTGTTAGAAGGGCGCTCATTTCTGACCTTTCTTCTTATGTTTGCATGTGTGCATACCTACTCTGTAAACGTATCTGTGAGCACCATATGAATACCTGACCAAAATAATCACACACTGCCTAAATCTGCTGTTTCTTCTTCTGCAGAAAAAGGAAGTTATGCATTTTTTTTTCACTTTAAAAAGGTAAAAATTGAGTTTTATGAAAAAATACAAAAGAAATCACAACTAATTAAGACATATAAAATACTCGCACCATATTTGACCATGTAAAACTAAAGGGTACTTATACAAACAGCTTGTTAGAACAGAATATAAACTGCATTTGAACCAGAAATGGCAAAAAGAGTAAAACAGAACAGCACATCTGATGTGACAGTCTGACGAGAGACAACAAAGCCATGTGTAAATGTCAGACAAGGAGTAAAAATGTCTGTTGCTTACTTGCCTTTTACACAGATACTACTCCAGTGTCTGCATATATCGTCAGAACATGTTTCATAATCCTGGTATCATGGTTTATAGAGACTGCAAAGAAGGGAAAGAAAAAACTACCCACCAAGCTGAGGTAGGAAACTTTTGGCAGAGATCCCAAAACATCTCAACCGGAAAAAAAATCTAACCTTATTTGGAAAAACACAGAATTTCACTCAAACTATATTCGTATTGCGACTTCTTATTGTTAGGAGGGAGAGAGAGATGAAAAACATGCTTTCAGAAATATATTAACATATGTAAAATGATAATTACAAAAATTTTTTTTTAAATATTTAGAAAAACACTTAAGCCTAAAAATTGTTTGGACAAGTTGGCTATTATTTCACATTTGCTGTGCACAGTATATTTTATGTCTTTCAGTGAGATTCTGTTGTAATCTATTTTTACTTATGTGGAATTACATATAAAACAGCATTGTTAAGAGAAGGTGCCAAAGAATTCAAGGGATAAAAAACATATTCCAAGATCACTGTCACCTTTAGAAATGAAACACACAGTCCTCAAGGACAGCAGATAAACAGATATTGAACTCCTCAGGGAGCTGAGAAGCAGGAGAGAGTCGAGAAGGAGGAGGGAGTCACAGGCTTGCTGTACAACTATAGAACTACCAACTTTACAACAGACCCAGTACTCTGAATTAGATCTTGGGCTATCAGCTACAAAAAGGTGTTCACGCACTGTAACAAAGTGAAAGGTAAATCCCACTTGCTTTGCTCAAACAGTCCAATTTTAAATCATCGGGTGGCTAAAACAAGTACAGGGTGATTTGGTTTCCTTGTATGATTCGTAAGATTTATTTTCCCTGTATATGACTACTATATACAGTGGAACACAGTTACAGGAAACCCACTGTGCTTAATCTTCAGTGTTCAGAATACACAACAAAAAGGTCCCAAAACAAAAAAATAGTTTGGTTTTCCCAATAATGAACTCCTAATCCTTCACAGTGGAGGCCATCCATGTTCCAGTCAGTTCTGACTTACTCCACATATTAGATACTTTTTTTAAAAAAGTTATGTGTAAAAGCATGTATTTATAATGATAAATACAAAATTTTTACAAGGGATATTTCAGACTCTGCCGTTAAAGAAAGCCACTCACTTCATCTTGTTCTAAAGCCAATGATCCTCTAGGGATGAACCTGGAGCCCCCTCAGTCAGTTGCAGCCAACCCTTCCTGCCCAGGGAGTCTCACATGGAACCAGACTCGGGTGGTGGGCTGACCCTGGCTGGACGCCAGGTGCCCAGCGAGCAGCTCTATCACTCTCCCTCCTCAGATGGACAGGGGAGAGAAAAGATAATGAAAGGCTCATGGGTCGAGACACAGACAGGGAGAGATCATTCATCAATCACTGTCACGGGCAAAAAACTCAACTTGAGGAAAAATTAATTTAATTTATTACCAACCAAATCAAGAGTAGGACAATGAGAATGAAAACAAATCTTAAAAACACTCTCCCTCCACCCCTCCCTTCTTCCCAGGCTTAACTTTACTCCCAAATTCTCTACCTGCCCCCCCTGAGCGCAGGGGGACGGGGAATGGGGGCTGAGGTGAGTTCATCACACATTGTCTCCGCCATTCCTTCCTCCACAGTGGTGGACTCCTCTTCCACTTCCCCGGCTCCACCATGAGTCCTTCCCACAGGCTGCAGCTCTTCAGGAACAGACTGCTCCAGCGTGGATCCCCCACGGGATCACAAGCCCTGCCAGCAAACATGCTCTGGCGTGGACTCCTCTTTCCACGGTTCCACAGATCCTGCCAGGAGCCTGCTCCAGCACAGTCTCTCCACAGGGTCACAGCATTCTTTGGGCACATCCACCTGCTTCGGTGTGGGGTCCTCCCTGGGCTGCGGGTAGATATCTGCTCCACCGTGGACCTCCATGGGCTGCAGGGGGACAGCCTGCCTCACCATGGTCTTCTCCATGGGCTGCAGGGGAATCTCTGCTCCAGCGCTTGGAGCACCTCCTCTCCCTCCTTCTTCAATGACCTTGGTGTCTGCAGAGTTGTTTCCCTCTCTCCCATATTCTCACTCCTCTGTCCCACTGTAATTGTTTCCCCTTCTTCAATGTGTTATCCCAGAGGTGTTACCCCCATCGCTGACAGGCTTGGCCTTGGCCAGCAGCAGGTCCATCTTGGAGCCAGCTGTCATTGGCTCTGTCGGACATGGGGGAAGCTTCTGGCAGCTTCTCACAGAAGCCACCCGTGTAGCCTCCCCCCGCTACCAAAACCTTGTCACACAAGCCAAATACAACCAGCCATTCAGACTGCAGTTCAAGATGCCAGAAGTTCTTACGCGACAACTTCTGCCCCATTGGGCTCAATGACTAAAACATCAATGAACAAAAGACTTCACATAACAACTGCAGTATCTGTTATTTTGTGCCAGTAATGCTTTTTCTTTTTGTTTTTATTAAATAAACTACTGAAAAATCAACGTCATCCAAATATGTTGAAGAATTCAAGGCTCCATCAAACTTGGTCACCAGACTGGAAGAAATCCAGAGAGTACAAGCTGCAAAATGGAATAATTCTAGCCATACAGCATTTTCACCAGTCTAAGTTTTTGGTATTGTCAGCTTTTTTCTTTTTTAACAAGTTGTTGGATATACTGCATCCAGTTGCTACAAACTAGCACAGCAGAAAAAGCAATGTATGTCATACCAAGACTGTAGCTGCTAAGCATTACCAGGAATGGAAAATTTCAGATGTTCAGCTTATAAAAAGGTTGACTTGTGTCATCCAAATTTCTTTTTCATACACTAGCTGTGACCTTCAGTGGCTCAAGTGAATCCCACAGCTCTGCACCTTTGACAGCATGTTGGTGATTCAGTGCATTAACAGCTCTTTCTGTTGCTCTCTTCTTGTTCTGAACTTTCTGAGAAATGAGGATGTATGTGTTAGCATAGGAGATTATGCTCACCCCAGTGTAAAAGATCCACTGACTACTCTTTCATCTTAATAAGATCAATCATCTGCAATGAAAAAAGTATATTTGAAGAAAGAAAGAAATCTATTATCTGTTCAGCTGTGTGGCAGCCTCACGTGATACCAGTAAGGTTGGAATAAGAATTTTTACTCCATTGCCAACATCAGTACTCTCCTGGAGCAAACAAGCACTAATCTTCTTCCACACCGGTTGTAACAGACACGATTTTAAAAGTATCATATAATAAAGAACATCATTTTAGTGTACAGCCTTTCCTTTAGTCCTTCTTTATGCATCAAATTGAAGAGACAACTCAAGTTCTCTGCTTTTCGTAGGCCACATTTAAAGCGAAAAGACAACTCACACTAGTCCAGTAAATCACCAGTGCTGAGATGATGGCAGTGAACCTCATTATACTCTTCAGCATTTCCCCCACACTTTGGGGAATAGGCAACGGAGCATTAGTGTTGCTGAATTAAAGGCATGAAACTACATGTAAACCCTAAGGGAGTCTTTTTCCTTTTTGAAATATACTCCATACAGCATGTGTTTGATGAATACTAATTAAGTATAGCAGATGCATTTAATTTGTAGTAATGAACTTCAAAGGCAAGATCCGACTCCCTAGTCTTCAATCAGAGCAGACTCTTGCTAAGGTCAAAAGAAACACTGCAGGAATCAGACTGAACTAATGAATTCCAGCATAATCAATATTGCCTTTCTGTGCACGTGTGTGTGCACACACGTATATACACAACATATGCTAATCACACACACACACATATATATACATATGAGAAATAAAGAGTGCATCCAAAACTTGCTGGTGTTACTAATGATGAAAGTACTGCTTACTGGCAAAAGTTCTACAAATGCAACAAACTGAACCATACATTTGGATGCGTAAAGGGAAACCAACACAATATGAAGCATCCGACCACCAGGGAATCCACCTTTCTCAGCAGCATGCTGTTCTGAAAGTCCATTAGCAGACAATTAGCAGATTTTCAGTAGGGCATTTTAAAACTAAGAGGTAATGCAGAGTCATTATAAACCTGAAGAGCTGGCACTGACCTGACTGCTCTAGACACGACAGACCCCACCTTCGCAACTGGGACAAAGCAACTAGATCTCTACTTGCAGAGATGTAATCAACACTGTAATTGAGGAAAAATACAGAGAGAGAGAGAGAGAGAGACAGAGACTTGCTTTTCGTTTGGGCAATACGGAGTTTACCACACCTATTATGTATCAGTGACGCAGGTCTGCCGACTTCTTTTGATTTATCACTTTTCCATAGATAAGAACACTAAAAAATAATGATACAAAAGGTCAAGTAAACTATTAAATGTAAGGTAAGCCATTCGCACTGAAGTGGCACTGTTACAGCATACCAGCACTTGACAATCTCAAATGAAATGTGTCTTGGATTGGCCTCATTAGATAAACGACCTTTCACCTCTATCTCACAAGAGTAACAGAAAATACTACTGATTAAACTAACTACATTATAATAGCCCTCCTGTTTCTGCCTGCCTTCAGGAGTTACACTCATAGTCACGCAGTAGCAGTTTTGTAATATAGAGGTGTGGATGGGAATGCTTGCTCACACCCTGTTGTTTAAATGACAGCCCAGTTCATACAGATCTACTCACAGTGCAGAACACCATCATATCCACATCCCACAGCTACCAGCAAAAACACTGCCTTCTACATGTCTCTTCAATAATTAAAATAGCAATGAAAACTGTATTGCAAATATGAAAGGTCTTAATACAAAAACTGGAGAAATGGCAAGAGGGTGAGTAGTAAAAAAATCCAGAATGATGCAGATACATCGTCCTTCCCAACTGACACATACAAGCAATAAATTGCTGCTCTAGGCAGTGAAGCACTGATCTTACCACTCCCGTCCATGTTTTTCAACCATGTAACATCCTGCAGCCAGCCTTCCTCTCCAATTCATTCTTTCGAAGCATTTTTCCCCTGTACTTCACGTTATTCCTATAACTGCCAGATGCACCTGTCCTTATTTGAACTGACTGCACATGCACATACCTAAAATCTGAAATAACTCATATTGGAAGCACTAATAAGAATGTTTTGGGGTAGTATCCATAAACATTGTCATCAGCGTAACACAGCAAATTTCTGTCCTCGTAAGACGACACTGAAATAGGGCAAAAAAGAAGCAGTAACTGTAGGCTTTACATACTGAGAAGAGAAACTGTATGCTGCCACACCAGACACTGCAGAGGTGGCAATCGAGCTGTGTTCAGAGTAGCGAGCTATATAGTAGTGGGTTTTCACAAAATAAAAAAAAAAAACCAAAAAAAACTAGGATTGTTATTCAGTTGTTCCGGGCAGACATCAACTGAGATTATAATAATTTTCTCATGTATGCCCAGTTATAACACCGTAGACACTTCTCCCTCCCAAAATTCTGTGCAAAGTTGTTGTTCGTATATTTTCACCTAGTCCAATAACAAATGCAACCATTCATAATAAGCACAGTCATTCGCTGCGTGGAAGGTGTAACGCTACGCAGGACGCATATTTGGATAGATTGTATTCTTTTACCTGAATTGAGAAGAATGAGTATATTTACCAAGTTCTTTGTAGTTAGTAGATGCGGGCACAATTGCAATTCTAAATGGCAGAAAGCAAGCAGTTCTCTCCTGTTAACTCTTGCCAAATGGTTTTATCTCAGTCTTTGGACCGAGGCTGTTCTGCCTCAGCCCACATACTTCAGGAATCACAAGTTATCTGGGGAGAGAGAAGAATGACAACTCTCTTGCCTTATTACAAAATGCAAGAAGTCATTTGTCTCCCACAAGAGGCCGTCAGCAGAAATGCTGCTGAAGAAGATGCAGAGGCCTTTATCCTTCACAACTGAGTGAACCGTACGGCTGTTTTTCTGCTCCAACTTTTCACCCACGGGTAGACCCCTTTTATGAAGATCCAATAGCCTTTTCCTTCTCAAGCAGGGGCAGTAATGCTTTGGGACCTCCTCTCTAGGTAACAACAGCAACTTCCCGGGGAAACGACTGCAGTCCCTTGCAGGACAGTGACAGTCTTTAGGGACAACACATGACAGTGGCACGGATCAGCCTCCAAAACACCAGCAGTTTCCTGGTGCTCCTCCAGAGCATTTTATGCACCGAGCAATTTTAATCACTAGGGGCACTAAGTTATCCCCTCACAAGCCTTTAGACGAGATTTTGATAAAAAAATTTCTTACTCAACAGACTTCCTCCGAAGGCATGAAGAAAAGCAATCACTAGAAATAGGTGGAAAACAGTGAAATGAAACATCACAGTCATTAGAAAAATCTGGTAGAAATACCATGATGATTCCTAACGAAAACCACTAATGGAAGATGGCTAGCGAATGTTATAAAGTGTATACATACAGTTTGGGCGCATCTTGCACGTTGGATATCAAGCTCTTGGTTCTCACATCTTACTTAAGTACAGTCTGATTAATATTTTACCGAAGATATACAGTACATTTCTGGCAGATGGTGACACTCTCAGTATTTGTGAAAATAAATAATTATAAATCAAATATAATAAAATATTGAAACTCCTCACGCTGAAATTTTCATTGTCATTTAGCCAACGTACAGTTTGTCCTGGAGCCGAAGAGTGAACCAGGATGCTTCCAACACAGCAGCAAATAAACCCAATCGCCTACTGCCACCAAATGGAACACAGCAGAATGACTCCAGATGGAAAGTAACTTTCATCACCGTTGGAACTAATACAGTAAATTAAACCTATGTAAGGAGGAGACAAATTCAGTATTTTAATCAGGATGAAGAAGTCTTTGAAAACCAAAAAATCTGGAGTGAGAATCTGTAAAAGGTGATCTCCCCCAGTTTCTCAACCTTATGGGATAGGAGGCTGGGAAGTATGAAGGCAGGGGGTAAGAAAATAATTCTATCCTTCCAAGATACTCCACATAAGAGAAGAAACGAGATTTTTTTTTTTAAAGCAAATTTAATAAGGTAACATGATTTCTCTAAAAAATAAATTTGGAATTTTAGAAAGAGGTCAGATGTCAGGCGCATTCAGCAGATTTATGGGCAGGAAAGGAAAGAGCTGTAATAAGTACGTCATAACAACATCTTTTATAAATACAAAACCAGGACTAAACTATACACAGACCAGGGAAAATGAAACATTTAAATGCTTATTGCTGCG